AGAATAACCAGTCTAGTGAACTCTCCGGGGGGAATACCCCAAAAAGGGTTTTCCCCTTAATGCAACGCTCGAAAGTAAGAACGATAACTCTTCTTATTTAAAAAAAATATATATTTTTTAAAAATCACAAACATGCAAAAATGATTCGTCTACACCTTTGTTTTCAATTTAAAAAGAATAATAAATTACTTTTCGTTTCTTTTACCTCATTTCTGAAGCACAAAATTTGTTTTCAGGACAGAGGAAATTGGACGGGCACAGAAAAATGCGAAAAATAATTAATAACATGTTCATTACACAAAAATTTTAATCCGGGGAACGGAATTATATGTAGTTTAACTTTAAACAAAACATTGTTTGTTTATTCATCCGTTTTTATTAAATTATGCATAAAAAATCTAGTTGTATCAAACATGGAGGTCAAGGCACAGAATACCTAATTTTTTTTTGGGAGAGAAAAAGTCTCTTTTTTACAATAAACATATACTTTTTCGCAATCTCTTTAAACATCTTTAATCTATCAAATTTGAGTACATACAGAGCTACGAAATAATCCATCACTTTGCACAAGCATATTTTGTGGACCACACGTTTTTTCCGTGAAAACGGCACTTTTTGAGTTTTTGCGCATGCGCCGTCCCCCCATTTTGAGGGTACGGATTTCCAACATCCGTTTCCCCCCCGTTTGAGGGTTCGACTAGACTGATACCCAGATAGCATGAGGACATTGGCCCAACGTTGGCCCAACAATGTTGGTTATGTTGGGGAAATTTTCCAATTTCGTTGGCCCAATGTCCTACTGCTCATTGGCGCGCCGTTGGCCCAACATGTTGGGCCTATGTTGGTACAATACTGTTTGTTTATTTGTCAACGTTGGTACAACGTTTTCCAACATACCAACGTCAACGCAATATTTTGTAACGTTGGCCCAAGGGTTTACCCTTAAAAATATAATAGGGGCCGGGCCCCGGCATCATCCAAATTCAAACCTTTTGTTGAAACGCCAACGTTGGTACAACGCTATTCCAACGTACCAATGCTAACCAAATATTTTGTAACTTGGCCCTGCTGGACCTCAGTTCAAAATATAGTTATAACGTTCGGCGATGATTCAACGTTGATACAAAGCTGTTTCTTGAAATATCATTGGCACAATTATTCCTCAATACAAATGTCTTACAAAATTAATTCAATTCTGTAATTTTTATTTCCCAGATTATATGACACAATTAATTTCACCATGATTGGTCAAATATTTTTTCCTCCTAAAATGTATCACAATGTATTCTTTGCCACTTTCACTTTCATTAAAGTATTCCATGGAATGTAACTAAAAGAGGGAAGGGTAGAAAGTTCAAGGTTTTCCAAGTACATTCCACATCACTATGTCCACTACTAAATATCGCTTTGATATAAGAGTCTTCAAGTTCTACTTGTACGGGTTCTGAAAGGTCATATTTCACTTATCACTTTTTCTGTTGTTTATCTGTTCTTAGAATCCATGTTTTCCAACACATATAAATCAGTCCCTTCCATATACAAAAAATGCCACATCAATAGTCTCAGAGTGAAGAGGATTTTTCCATCCCGGCATTACCTGTAAACGTTAAGATTGTCATCAATTAAAATAGTATTTTCAAATGTTCATCAGCATCACACAAATTTTTAAAGCAATCCTTAAGATTGAATTTCACATTATTAATATAAATACAAGATAGTTACTTACATCTCACTGGTTAACATTCTTGCGTTCACTTACAGATCCGGACATATCTGTTTTGTTCATGCCCGCCAATTCCTATAAAAATTAAGATCGTCATCAATTAAAATTGTTTAATCAGCTACCCGCTACCAATAATTTGAAAGCCTACATGCAGGCCATTACAATTTTTGTGCATTTCACATTATTAATTTTTTTAATAACAAAAACAAAAGCTTTATTTTAACATTGAAAGGATTAAAATTCTTGCGTTCACTTAAACAGAAACATACGCTTTGCATTGATCAAGTGCGCGGTTAGATTTGGTACCCTGACATTGGTTCACGGGCGCAAGCGCCCTAAAAAACCTAGCGGCAGCGACTGGAATCAAAGGGAAAGAAACCAGTGCTAGTGCGCGGTTTAAAAAAACTGAATAAGATGACGGTTTCCTTGGAGACCGGTCACCTGCCGAGCCAGTGAATTTCACCAGTGACCTATTTATTTTGGAGCCCAAAACATGCAAAACACAAAACACAGCACTTTAAATTTGATTCAATGATGCTAAATATAGAATCTACCAAGATACAAAATTACTATGTGTAATTCAGAGACTTATAAGGATTGTCTCATATTTTCCATTCAATATGATATAGATCACATGTTTATAATGAGTTGCTTATATCATTACCATCGATTTACAATAGACAAATCTAAATTGATGAATACTTTTCGCAACATTGGGCCAACGTAGTCAAGCAGCATTCATCTCAAACATTACAGGCTACCTGTACATGTACTAGTAATCCCAATATTCCTACTATTGGACCAACTCCAGTTCAGTCCAGCACGCCCAACACAGAGCAATGAATCATTATATTGTCAATATTTATTAAGCTGGGCCAACGTTGGGCCAATATTGAATAACCAACAATAAGTGGCAATGTTTTGTGTCAACATGTACTCAGTTAGACCTACGTTGGGCCAACATTTCATACTCAACACACAATGGTCTTGATCCACGTCAACACTTACTCGGTTGGACCTATGTTGGGCCAACATCTAATATCAATTCTCTGTAATTATCAAACAATATCAATAATGCTTGGCCACGCTACATTTTCAAATTCTATGAAACTTTTTGTGTGTACTCACATTGTCACATCATTAATGGTTTTATATTTTTTTATTTCAAAAAATGTCTTGTTGCCATGGTAACGGCACCTATTGTTTCCCCTGTAAATTCTTCCTAAAATTTGACCAAAAAACATAATTTTGTAGGTTTTACTGAATAAAAATGAGCTTAAAAGAAACAAGAGAATGGGAAAATCTACTTTAGTTTCAAAACTACCATTATTCCTCTTTAGTATAACAACATAATTTTTTAAAAACTGTAATTCTACATAATGGCTTAACAACGCTTAGCTTTGGGGATTTTGGCATTTTGCCAAATTGAGAAAATTACCATTTTAGACCCTTTTTCAAAGCGATTTTTTAATACTTTGCACACTGATTTGAAATTCAGGAAACAGTGCATTGTATAGATGGTATATAAGTTAGTTTAAACACATTAAAATATTTATGGGACACTTAAACATTTTTTTAAAAAGCTGATGAAAAATTACCCAAAATCTGCAAAATTTCTGTATTTCAAGGAACATATGCACATTTCATTAAGTTCATATAGAAAAGAAATGTTCCTTTCTACCTGTTTTGATGTCATTTACAGTAAAATTAGTCCATATCTAGGTGAAGTGTCATGTAAAAATATTCACATCCCATTTCCAAGAGCATTAATACATGTAAATATGTTCTTAGATAGGAGAACTGTGAACACCTGCACAAAATGCCCCCCCCCCCTTTCCGTAAAATTGACAATTTTGAAGTACATGTAGACTAACCAGGGCATGTTTCAAGTTTCCTGAAACTATCCCCTTAGATTGAAACTAATATGAAATAAAATTTTCCCTATCCATTCTCTATTACTATGGAAACAGGAATGCAAGATTTGTTACCATGGAGACAGGAATACCAGATTTTCAACCAAAATGGCTGCGTTTAACGAAACAATATTCCCAAAACTACACTTATTTACTCTTTTATAAAACCTGTGTAATGAGTTAAATGTGAATGTGAACTAAATTTTTTGGCATCTTAGATTTGCATCTTTATGATGTTGCAAAAATATAATGCATTTTGTAATGCTATGTCAAATAATTGCAAAACTTTGTGGCTTTTACTTTTTCAAGATTTGGTCAAACTTGAAAAATTCTGAAATGAAACTAAAACAAGCAGGACATTCATAATATTTTACTCATTTCAACTTGTTACTTTGCATAATTATTTATTAATTTCATGGGCAACTGCAAACCACAGATACTTTGAATGAAGTCAAAAATTTACCCCCCCCCCCTTCTGATTTTTTATTTTAAAACTTATGAAACACGGCTTTAAACTTGAGAAGAATTACATTGGTTTAAAAAAAAATCACATCCTCTTGGGTAAGTTATCTTGGATTTAAACATAAATATCCAACAATGGAAAACTTTAAACATAGTGTTTGGCATATAATTTAATAATAATTAGGTTTGCAATGGATCTTTTGTATTCTGTAAAGTCAGTTGAAACAATCCCCCCCCCAATGCAAACCACAGATACTTTGAATGAAGTCAAAAATTTACCCCCCCCCCCTTCTGATTTTTTCTTTTAAAACTTATGAAACAAGACTTTAAACTTGAGAAAAATTACATTGGTTTAAAAAAAAATCACATCCTCTTCAGTAAGTTATCTCTTGGATTTAAACATAAATATCCAACAATGGAAAACTTTAAACATAGTGTTTGGCATATAATTAATAATTAGGTTTGCAATGGATCTTTTGTATTGAAACAATGCACCCCCCCCCCCTCATGAGACACTGTCCCCCACAAGTATCATTTTAAGGAAGTTCTTCCTTTCATTTTACTAGGTTCCTGCCAACATCTCATCACACCAACTATATCAATCTCCTTTTCTTTTTTTTCACATGCAAATATAAATTCTGAAAACAAGAGAACTTTTCGCTTTTTTTATTTTTTATATATGCAACATTTAGAGTACATGTATTCTCAACTAAGGTACACATCATAAGATTTACACGACAAATTCTACTGTTTCTGCTGCTCTGAAAATCTTGTCTCTGATTTTTCAATTTTAGAGTTTTTGTTGGTCAGGCATGTACCAGTAATGACCTACATTGACATACGCAAGTAACACTGATAATTAGTTACTGTAATGAGAATTATGCTGAGTTGAGTTTTTTTGGCAAGGTACAGGATAAAGCTTGATAAGTTCTAAAACATATTGTTATACAGCATAAGATTTGAGGATGCCATCACATAATATGATAAACATGTTCCTATTATATTTGAACTTTGACATCTCAAACACTGATATCTTGAAGACAGTGGGTACAAGTATGTTGAAGTAGGTTGGAATTCAGCTTTCACTTGCCTGGTTTCAAACCTAAAATATGGCATCCCTTCTCAACCTGCAATGGTAAATAATTCCTGCATTTTCCAATATACACTGATTTCAAGCTAATTAAATGTGTATGTAATCCTTTAGAAAGTTGTTTTCTTTATTCTAGTATAATAATTCTTCTGTTACTGGACAGGTATTAAATTTTGTTTGAAAAAAAAAAAGAAATAAGCAAGGTTTAAATTTAGATATAAAACTGAAATATTTTTTAACAATTTAAGGACAGATGATACAAACTTTTGTCAAAGAATTCATACTTGCCAACCTCCAGCATGTAAAAATCTGGTCATGACCAGATTTGGAAAGTAAAAAATCTGGTCATAACGCGTAACGACATTCAAGATATATTTACCATGATTAAATACATATATACAAAGTATTTGAGAATTCTTTTATTGAAAAAGGATTTAATTTACTATGACAAAAAAATCATAATTTGCTTTAATTTACATGTTAAAAATGAAAATTGAAGGTTTCATATTTCAGTACTGACCTGAAGTAATTGTGCATTTTTTTTTAAAAAGCCTTTTAATTCAGTTTCTGCTAAATTTGAAAGTATACGAATTTCAGTTTTGAAGTTGTTTTTCCTCTCTCTTAATTAGTTAACTACTGCAACATGTTTTAAATTTGAAGTTAGGCCTACACTGTCTTTGATCACTTTATTTTATCTAGAATGAAAGTTTTTTCCCCAAGATTCCTTGATATGTACATAAATATCTTTCTCTTTTTCTTGGTTCAATCAGAGACATGTGTTTGGTTCAATTTGTTCGTGTTGGCCCTGATAACGATGTAGTTCTATCGGAAGCCATTTTAATTGACTTCAAGCATTGATTTGTCAAAACAACCCAGTTAATTGTTTACACCTGCACAGATAATTATTCCATCGGCATTGTTTACGTAGATCTAAGCTTGGGTTGTAACTGGAAGTTAAAAGTGCAACTTAATTTACGAACCAAATCCGGAAATCGGGAGATTTTCGGGTTGTTCGGCAAAAATCGGGTGATAAGCATGACCCGCCGGGTCATAAAAAATAATCGGGTTACGGGTTGAAAAATCGGATGTGACCCGACAAATCGGGTGAGTTGGCAACTATGAGAATTTGAAAATAACAACTGGGGTCATGTTTAAATCAGTAAAATTAATAACTTTCTTCAAGTACTTTTTAATTTTTAATTCATATTTGCATAAAAATGGAATTTGAAGTGAAAAATATTTGTATAGATTAATAGGGATAGTTTCAAGAGGGCAGACTTTTGAACATCACAGAAGGTTTACAATTTCTTAATATTCTAGAAATTTATTAATAGCATCATTAATTTGCAATTAAATTATGCCAAAAAATATATACCAATCCAGGCATCCATTTTTTGTTTGTATCATCTGTTCTTAATTTACTTTCATATTTTAAAGAATGGTTACCTTGAAAAGAACAAAATCTAGGCTGTCCACTTTCTTGCAGAGTGCACTTGAACTTCAGTCATGGCCTATTTGGTCCTGTTTTGGTTTACTGGTCTTACTTTTTCTTTATTCATCTTATATGGTAAATCCTTTGATGAAAAAATTATGAAAATAATTATTTTCCTAGGAACATGATCAAAAGGAAAATTCATTTCATTCATACACAGACATGTTCATGTGTGTGATCATCTTACCAGTAGTGAATATTTGCCTGAGTATCAAATAATTTGTTTAGAATATTATAAAACATGGTCAGTGTGTACAAAACAAATATCATTATAAATCAGAGGTGAATATTCTACATGTACATGTATATAGTTTTATTATACCCTCCACTTGAAAAGTGGTAAGGTATACTGTAATCGGTATGTCCGTCTAGCTGTACGTCCATCTGTCTGTACGTCCGTCTGTCTGTTACGCTTTAGGGTACCCATCTCTTATTATCCGCACCTCCTCTTATACAACTGCAATGAGTGAAATTTAATGAACCTTTCACAGAATCTTTATTACATATTGCCATTGTGCACCTCCTATTTTACTTTTTGATTCGACACATATTTTGGGTTTCCCGGCCACAGTAAAACATGGATTTGTCATCAGTTATAACCATATGGGAGGAAGGGGGTATCATTTAGTGAGCTCATTGCTCACAGTACCTCTAGTTAAATTTTGTTTTAACACTAACACATATGTACAAGTGTACATATATATTTTTACATATATATTTTTTACTGTTTGCTCTTTGAAAAGATTATTATTATTCACACAAAATTGAACTATAGATTATACAGTACCGGTACTTCACTGACAAATGAAAGAGTCTATATAAACAAAAATAACTCAATATTTCCAGTGCATTCTTAGCCTAGATCTATTTTGTCAATACATATAGCACAGTTTTGGACATATATAATAAATTTAAAGTTTAAAAGATAGAAGCTATTACATAAAACAATGACATCAAAACAAACATGCTGTTTTCCTATTTTCTGCTTATGAACATCACATGACCATATTTTGCTGATATATAGAATACTGTTTAAAAAACTTAGCTACTTTGTGCTTGTGCTCACATATTATAAACGTTTGATGCACTTTTTTTATAGAAAACAAACTTGCTCTAGTTAAATATTTTAATAACACAATTCTGTAAAATATGTGCCTAATGCCAATAAAGAATTGAAATAATAGGATAAACAATGAATGAAAACTGACAGAAGTGGAAATTTATATTATAAAGATAAATCATGTTCACTTAAAAGTCTCTCTCAGCACATCATAAAAAGTAAACCTACTGAATGGCACAGATTTTATACAATCTCTATACAGACATTTATATTTCGGGGGGGGGGGGAGTTCAGCTGTATCAGCAAGTGATGTTTATATGCTTCAAATTCATTTTTATTAATAAAAATAATTAATTCATTGGTCAGAAAGTCAAACTGTCAAAAGGTATAGTTCGCTTGATTTGATAAGGACCACTGACCACTACCGTGGTATAACAACTGTGTATTGTAAGGCAAATAAAATTAAGAAAATATGCATTTGTTAATCTTGATATTTTTGTAATGCTCAGTATATACATAAATTTACCTTCTGTCTTCATTGTTTAGGATGTCTAGCCTTCTTTTCTTCTTCCAGACTGTAAAACTTTGATGAGATCTTTCGCCAGAAAATATTCATTGCTGTTTACTAAATACACATTATACCTCCAAACGTTAGAGAGTAGTTCAAGGGAAGTAATTAGGAAGCAAAAAATGCTTCAAAATGTAGAAAAAAGTAATCTTTATCTTTGAATTCCTTTTCCATCTTTGAGTCTCCCACCAATATTTTACATATTTTGATATAATCAAATATCAGCCTTTCATAATTAATTATTAATAAATTTGTAATCAGTGTGCCTTTTTTGTTTTAAGCCTCCAAAAACTCCACTAAACCAATCACATATCTGATATGTTATAATATGTAAAATGGCCATTTACTATTGAGAGATTAAATCAAAACTACAGATATAATTACTTTAATCTGTAGTATTAAATTTAAATAATGAAAACATATTAAGTTATCCCTTTACATTTCTGGACACAGTTTTTCTTGATAAGTACACGTTTTTCAAAATTAACGAAATTGAGAATTTTGCACCCCGTTTCTATGGCAACCAAGGTTCTATTTCATAAACCCACTTTAGATTTTACAATTAATGACATAGCTGTTTAAAATTATTATAAAAAAATCAAAATGTTTTTGTATGCGTGGCCAACCAATTTTGATAATTACAGAGAATTGATATTAATGTTCAACACCAAGTCGCTATAGTTTTTGTCAACATGTTACTACAATGGGCCATTATTGGGCCAACACCACATGCCCAACACCGTTGGTTTAGCTTTCATGCCAACGTAAATGAACGTTGGCCCAACGTTGGGCCAACATCACATGCCCAACACCGTTGGTGTAGCTGTCATGCCAACGTAAATGAACGTTGGACCAACGTTGGGCCAACATCACATGCCCAACCAGGCGCGTAGCTGCCTATACGCAAGTACGCAAGTGCGTACACATCATTTTCCAAAAAAAAAGAAAGAAAGAAAGAAAGAGGGATAAAAGAAAAGAAGGAAAAAAGAAAGAGAGATTTTTATTCGGGAAAATAGAGGCACTACCCATGTTTCAAATTATTTTGCGTCTTATTGTTTGGATTCAATTTTTTTCAGCATGTCTGCACATTCAAATTTAGTCCTTTATAAAATCAATTCCAAAAACATCTTTCAACATTCTTGAGGAAAAAAATTGTTAAACCAAAATGTTAATCCGCGTAATCACGATTATCCGGACAAATATTTGATATAAGGAAAGCGATCTAAGGGACTTTGATCGAAAGAAAAATTTATAAAGGTTTTGGACGACTATCCAAGATTTTTAATTTCCGTAGAGGTAATGAATAAATGTCGTTAAACAACTTAAATTATGGTGAACAAAATAAATAATAATATAGCTTCTTTTACTGATGTTATATACCAATTTAAAGAATTATATTATAATTGGAAGCATTCTCGAATCGTTTCAGCTATCAAATACAGGGATTTTCCACTACCCCGTGTAGGGCCGAATATGGGCCCCATTCCCAATTGCAAAACCTCTCCCTTTTTCCCAAAATGAACTGCATATGTTCAATTTTTGAATGCAGAACAACTTCAGAGGTTAACTTGATCATATTTTACAAAATACAAACATGGTCAGGTTTGAAATTTGGGTAAAATTTTATTAGAATGATCAATTCTCTGATTCATAGCTCTATAATAACTATGTAAAACATCAATTTTATTCATTTTAGTGTTTATTTCTTGAAAAACATCATACAATAAAATTTCCCAATTAGTGTTAAAATGTCGTTAAATTCCCAATTCCAAGGGCCTGGGCCCCATTCCCAAAAGTGAGTGGAAAATCCCTGAAATATGAAGGTAATCAAAAGACAACAACACCCCCCGTTTATATTTTGAAATATTTAAACTCCAATGATAACGATATTGAAATTGCTACTCTGTTTTATCTTGATACACTTGGAAACTTTTTTCCAATACCACAATATGCGTAAATTAATTTGATAAATTATCCTTCTCTTCCTGAAGTATCAATGGAAGCAGTATATCTTATAGCTAAGTGTTTGCTCGAGAAAAGTGATATTATTGTGATTTCTTTTGCGAGAAAATGACTGAAAAATTTGTAAAATCCAGGAGCTTCCGGGGGCTTTGCCCCCTGGGCCCCAACCAGGGCTTTGCCCTGGACCCACTGGGGGCCTCAGGGCGGCCCCCAGACCCCCGACCGTTTTCTGCGTACACTTCGTTTCCATGCTGGCTACGCGCCTGCCAACACCGTTGGTTTAGCTTTCATGCCAACGTAAATGAACGTTGGACCAACGTTGGGCCTACATATGTTCCCCAACGCCAACACTCTACCAACCATACAACCAAAAACCAACGTTGGCCCAACGGAGTCATGCTATCTGGGTAACAGCTGTCTTATTTGTTTAATTTCATGATGATGATCAATCGATTGGCTTGCGTGATAATTTTATGCATGAACGCCTTCGGCTTGTATGCAAATTACATGTATCACGCAAGCCAATCGATTGATCACATCATGAAATCGAAAAATAAGACAGTTATTCCTTAAATAAAACATCTATAAAAGTCTTAATTAATCTATGATTTTTAATCTAATCTAGACGTCTTATTCATAAGGTTTTTAATAGAAAGTGTACAGGTACATGTAGCAACTTATCCGGAGATCCATATTTTATACCACACCGGTTCTACAATTAGTGTCTAAAAGCCATTTCCAGTAAGCAGTCAACGAAATCATGGTAATATTATGCACAGAAGAATTTCTTTATCTTTACTATATCGTAAGACTTAAAAAACATTATGATAATTCTAAGGACACACTAAGAATTTATATAGCCAACAGTGTCTCATAAAAATCATCATAACAACGGACAACCGTCGCAAAAAATGTAATCATTCTAAACATGCTAAATTCTCTGAAGAAAAATCACTAAGAAATTTGATTTTATTGTGTATTTTATGCTTAGTGTTAAAATTTAAGCGCAAAAAACTTAATGAATACGCTGATCATGAAGAATTGGTCTTTCTGTCTGTAATTAATTACAGAATTTCAAATATCAACTTTAAGAAAGCATCCGACAATCGAAATTATGAAACGCACGCATTAAAGACTTGGATGTTTATGCTGCGGTGACGGGCTACATTTGTTTTTGTTCGCCGCAGAAAGGCTGATATAAAAGTTCAAGATAAATAATAAGAGCTCAAATGTATGGCAAATGCATTTAGTTTTAACTCAGAAATCAATCATAATGATCCCTACTCAAATAAAATTATAATGATCATCAAATCAAACTGTAGTAGTTTCTCCAATTGCGGGTCACGCAATCTCGTGGCATGAACATGTCAAAATTCTATGTACAAAACCAATCGACAACCATGTATTTACCTTGATTATCAAAAGTATTCTAACAGGAAAATATTTTTTCTAAAAATTAAAATCCAATTAACCCTTCAAATGCATTTTTCAAATAAAAGAATTTAATTGTATTATTTTAAATCCTAATACATTTTTTTCATTCTGCATACTGCAAATTGTTTTGTTGTAATTGTTTTAAAAATAATTTAAACATATTTCTGTGGTTGTTTTACTTTTTTCCCGAGCTGCATGAATTGTTTTATGTTTCAACATCATAAAAATCGTGTTCCGAAACGTTCCATGAAAATTACACGACCGTGAAGTCACATGACCCGGAAATGGAGAAAATGATTCGTAAATGGGGAAGCTGAAATACCCCTGTAAATATTGTTCCCGTGTAGCTACTTTGAAAACGAAAAGGTGTTTGGATGACTGTCTATTTGTTCTTTCAATACATATATTGCATAAAATATAAATTGAACAGATTTACAAAATATCAACGAAACACCCTGACGTGACCCGGAATTGGCGACTTCACTGTATCTCACTGGTAAAAATGTAATAAACAGTGATACAATGGAACCCGCAATGTAATGAGAATCGAGTATTTAATGAAAATAAAATTGGCAGTGATTTTAAAGAAACTCAATCTTAAAGAAAGAAAAGTAAGTGATTAGGAATTAGGCCTACCATGATTAGACATTATGCTTTACCATTAGTTAAAAGTTTCATTTTCAAGATTTACATGGCCCTGCATTGAAATAAAATATTTATTACAGACTTTGTGTAGTTTTTACATAGACTGACCGGGTAAGAATTAGTCAGGAACCAAATTCACCGGTAGCCTCATCCTCTTTGCAAGATGGAAGGCAGGAAAAGGGCACACTCTGATGCAGGTGAAAGTGTGAATAGTCCAACGCCACACGACAGTGACACTGAAAAGTCAACAACTACATTAGAGAGTTCAACAACTACATCATCATCTGAACCTTCGAGCAAAAATGATTCATTTTTTCCAAATAGCACTTCCAAATGGAGGCGATCTGATGTAGACAAATTGGGAATAAAACTCTTGTACAGGGCTTGTGCGATGGACGTTGTATATGAATGGGGGCTATATAAAATGTTTAGAAAGGATGTCGTTTCAGAAGAATTGAATACTTTGGAGGAAATTTTATATGTGTGTAATTCAATTGAAGCAGATTTCACATCGTTTGAAGAATTACAGAGAAAGTTTATTGGAAATCCCGCGATATGTAATGAATTCATTCCAACAGAAAAGATGCCCAATGGTATTGGATTGTAAGTATTGCCCTTAATATATAAGATTGTCATTCATATACAAAATATGATGAGAAATGAAAATTTTGTGTGAACTGGGGATATCTATGCTGATATTTTACTAGGTTTGGGTCACTCACCCAAGTGGGATAAACAGGTTTGGACCAATCTCCCAAACAGGATATACTGTAAACGTATTACATTTGGTGGTGTATTCTATTTAGCGCCTTTGGCGGAATGCAGAGTCGGCTAAATCAAGTACATCGCTAAATGCCATCCGTAAATCTAGAATAAGATGTAAAAAAAATTAATGTAGCAATTACTTGTATTTGTGAAATGAATACCCAAGTATGAATATGTTTAACTCTTTATTAATTAAATATTGTATACAAATTAACAAAAAATAAATTACAAAAGAAATATAAAAGTAAACTTTTTTCACATGAGTTTTTATTTTACTTTGATCATGCTGACAGGTATGCGAATCCTGCAACAGTTATGACACAATGTCCAATATTCCAGCTTTTTTGCAGCCTGTTTTAATCATGTCTGTTGTTATTTTCTGATAAGCAGGCACAAGCCATCCCACATGTAAAGGCTTTAATTTTGAAAAGCTCAGGTCTACGTCAAGTTTGTCAATTGTTTTACCCTCTGTCAAGTTCTTGTCAATTTCGTCAGCATACCAGCTAGGTCTGAAATGCACTTTTAACAGATTTTTGAATGTGTCATTACCTGTGAGATCTAAAGGCTGTAATTCCCCAGTGCATGAGGCTGGTACGAATCTAACTTATGTCATTCTGGGACAGTTTATTCAAGAATGATTCACATTGATGTGCTTTGAACACATCGAATATGCACAGAGCATGAGCATTAAATCTATTTAATGGCAGGTCTTCACGAATTCACTCTATATAAGGAACTAAGATTTTGTCAACATATTCAAGCATGGTAGTTTCATTAGACCAGTGGTTTCCTGTGTGTGTTATATGCCACTTCTCTGGATACTTATTTAATAAAATTAGGGTACCTTTTTTTTTACTGGATAAATCACCTTGACACCAAAAATTCTATTAACGAATTCTTAAGCTTGCCCATATAAGTGCAAATGTTAAGTGCAAATGTTTAATATTTTTGTTTGATAATAACAGATGTTCATCCCGCTTTGAGGAGTTTCAACAAAAATTGGAACTTGTTTTAAGAGAGGAAATTGAAGTGAACGATTCTGTCTCAGAATCCAACTTTCAAACTTTATTTGAGGACTTTCTCAAAATATGTGGCATAATCACCAGGTAAATATGCATTTTTTTTACTATATTTAGTTCACTTAAGTCAAGGTTTTGAAATATTAAGTTGAAAAATTTTTATAGAAATTTGTTCAAATTCCCAGGTAGTGCACATGTATATAAGTTTGCTCAAATCATGACGGTAGTGTAGGACCAATTACTAAAAGATTTTAAAATGTTAAGGAGGATGTAGGTGAAAAAATAAACATTCTCCAAAAAAAATGAATTACATGAAATGCTTGTTTTGTGTTAACATGGAAACAGATGGCAGAATGATGAAATTCCAGAAATTCCCGATTTTTTTCCTTCAAAATAAAAAAAAAAATGTAGAGTCAAGTGCAAAAATAGGATTGGTTGGGTAGCAGGAAACATGACTATTATTTTTTTTTTGCCAAGTATATGATGCTTTGTGGCAACGCTTTTTGAAAAAATTTTTCAAAGTGCATAAATTTTTTCAAAGTGCGTTAAATTGTTCATTTTGGACACACTCAACGCACTTTGAAAAATTTTTTCAAAGTGCGTTAAGAATGCACATAAACATTTTTTACCATGGAGGCATTTAACGCACTTTGAAAAAAAAGATATGTATGAAAATAAAAATTCTAGACTTAGATTTTAGTAATAGAGGAAATCAAATTGTAATAATTATATCTTTCGAAAAACTTTTTAAAATTTACATGAACTCATTTAATTTCATTGAGAACAAGGAGAAGACGAGTAGAAGGTCTCTCATCCCAACTCTTTTTTTTCTTAAACATTGTACATAGCTGTCGGTAGCAAATTGAAAGTTGACCCCACAGGAAAGCCCCAATTTTTAATGCATACATGTACATATTATGTATATCTTTGCAAAATATTTATATGCCTACATGTAACCACCCTTTCCGGTACTGATGCCTATGCTACACCCAAATATATGTGTTTACATAACTGGTATGACGTCGAAAACTTTCAATAGATTTAAGTTTACATAAAATGCATGCAAACTTGAAAAAAATAAGTACAGTAAAGCATTTAAGCGAGAAAGAATTTTCAAAGTATGGAAAAATCAAAATCTCTCACTTTCACATCCTGAAGTGACTTCTTCACAGAAGAATTATCAAACAGGTTCAATTATTTATCATACCTAAGATTTGCAGGAATATTGACAAATCCATACACAGTTTTTCAAAGTGCGTTAATATGGTCCATATTAACGCACTTTGAAAAGAAATTTTATTTTTTCAAAGTGTGTTGACTTGGTCCCAAAATTTAACGCACTTTGAAAAATTTTTTCAAAGTGCGTAATTTTTCAAAGTGTGTTGTAACAATGCTTCATGAATGACACATTTTGTTTTTCTGAGACATCTGGTATAGACTTTAATTTTTTTGTGTAGAATTTCATTTATAGATACAAAGAGATCAGTACTAATGAAGAAGTGTATTTTATTTATTCATGTTTACATGGCTCTTCCACTTATTTTTAGGCACCAACCTGATATTGCTATAAAAAAGATGAAGGTCAAAGGTGAAATTGTTTCTTCAGCACCAGATATAGTATGCTATGGTTTGGAGGGGAAAGTTTTATGTGTTGTAGAGGTAAAAACATTTTATCTTGTAGCTATTTCCATCTTAAAGATTCAAGTGATCTGTATATTGCTTTCCGGCCAGTCAGTGTTACTTGAACAAAGATACATCTCTCAACAGCAAAATTGGCCAAACTATTCATCTATAGGTGTATTATAGGTGTATCATGGTTGGGCATGCACTCTCAGAGTCTCCAATATTACAGTTAAGTTTAGCCAATTGAGACATTGCAGTTGGAGAAAGAGTATCATGCATCCAAGATTTTATTCACTTTTCCATTCAGAAAAAGTTCTTTAAGTTTGTATCATTGCTTTCTTGTTGTATGACAGAACAACCATAATTTGTTTGCACATGTTTATTTATGGTCAACTAAATGTTTGTAAAGGTCTCGTATATTAATAAGCACTTATTTGACTAAGATGCATTCTAAAATTTAAAACCCACCAGTTCAGCTGAGAAAAATCTGGAGTAATATGTTGGAAGAAAGACATTTTTATTTTCAGGATTTGTAAAATTTAGGGTCGGTTGAATTCTATCCAAAAGAAAAACACTTTGGTCTTAGATTTATTTACATTTTGAATGAAGCTAGAAAGCAGGTGACACATGGATTCCTTGGAACATTCTAGTTAGAATGCAAAATTCTGACCAAGACAGATCAGTATTAGGTAATGGCACATCATTCTTGTTATGTGCCCTATTGTTAAGACAAGTTGTATCATATGATGTATTATCTGTTTAAGTGTTATAAATTAAAATATACACTGTATAGTTACACGACAGGAGGTGTATGTACATGAAACATTATAAGAAATGGAAAACTTATTGAAGTCTTTGTATGAAGATTGACAGGATTTTCTTGCACTCTTAACTGTTTTTGTTAATTGAACAATATTTGACGGACATATCAAGCTGTGGCAGGACACTTTGTTTACACTAGTTCTACAGTAGGGCCATGGTTACCCAGATGAGCCTTATAAACATGATAAAGGCAGACATAATTTTTAGATTTTCAAAAATATATTAGATAAGTTATCCACATGATCCAGATAAGAAAACATATAATTTAATCAAACATTTGTTTTTGTCTTTGTGCAGAAAGCTTTGTACTGGTGCACGGTGTGAAGTTAGGGAGAAATGACACAAAATAACTTATACAAGTTATCGTTATGTTGAAACTCTTTTAGAGATATAACGTGTTTGAGTTATTAATGCTAGGAAAAGTAGGTCAGAAGCAAAGAGAGGTAACTCATTGTGACAAAAAATAACTTACTTGAGTTATTTTTGACAATAACTCGTTTGCATTATGTCCCTGACTGATAGTCTAAGAGCAGTTTAACTGTACATCATGTACATTGTAAATTTTCATACTTTAGAATTTAATATCATTAAATATGAAGGAATAAACTTGATACAATGAGTTGTTGGATGATGGATGGGATAACTCAACACATAATTTACTACATGTATAAAGAAACAATAACTGAACTAAAGAGATGAGTTCAGTGTACAAAAGATATTAGAAATTTCCGTCTTTCATCATAATTTAAAAATTTAATATATTTCAGACAAAAAAAAAGAGATGGTGCATTTGTTGTAATCTGAATGTGCCAATGGGCCTGGCAATCATATCCTATGGATATATTTTTTGCTAGGATTTGTGAAGAGGCATGATGTCACAAAACCTTGACATAGTGAAGTTGGGGATAAAAATGTGCTCTGTCAGCTTGTATTATTCTCTCTGCTTTGTTGGTTTTATTTTCCACAGTAATTTTTTTTATATTTTCAGGTTAAAAAGAACATAAAAGGTGAAGAAGATACAAATGGCAGTCCTGTAATCAAGAAAACATGCCATGCATCTTCAGAAGTAGATCCCTGCCTACCAGATGCCCTTCTTGCTCAACATATAGGAGAACTGTTGGCCTATCTTGACAAATCAGTGACACATATGGATCTTTGTGGAAGTGTTGGTAGAGATATTCTTGGATTTACGGTTGAAAAAACACAAGTATGTTAATTTGAATAATACTCTATATTAAGATAATATTTTTTACAACCTAATTTTCTCTATAACTTTAAAAATAGTTGAAACCAGGAAAAATAAAAGAAGGTGATAAATTTTCAGATCCACAAAGATGACCTTAGTGGATTTTTTGAAGGAAGAATTCCCACTTTTAGAAGTTTTACCTTTCAGCATATGTAATATTTGCAGTAAAATACATTAAAACTCAATGAGTACAAACACAGATGTATAGCAAATTTACAGATATAGCAAATTTGAATATGGCCAGGGCATATAGTGTTTATTATGTCTAGCTTCCATCCATCTTCCCTAACATCCTTCTTTTGTCCTATCACTCTTTTTGTTTGGCGAAATTTCAATGAAACTATTCAAGGTATTTTCATCAAGCTTCGTATGCTGATATATATTGATGAGGGCTTTTCAATTGCTTCAACATTTTTGATCTTGACCTCACTTTTCTTAAATAAGTAAATATCTCAATTTAAAATAAATCAAAGAATATATTTTTTATCAAACCTTTAATATGAAGTCATTTGACTTATTATTATATGATTAGATAAGCTTGAGTTAATGGTACATACAAATATGCACCATGCTTGGCTGCAAGTTAAATTTTGAAAAATAGGGCATCATAAATCCAGAGTGGCGAGTTGTTTTCTGCTGATTTTGTGTAAAATTGTACATTAACACATTAAAAGCTATCATAGTAAGCTTGAAAATTTTATCGAGTTATGCATCATAAAAATTGTATTGAAAACATGTAATATTTTATGAGGTCACCTGAGTCACTCAGGTGACCTATTGCTATCTGTTTTTGTCCTTGGTCATGTGGGTGTTTGTAAACATTTCATACTTTCTACTTCTTCTCAAGAACTACTAGGCCAATTTCCACCAAACTTTCCACAAAGTATCTTTGGACGAAGATGATTTAAACTTATTCAAATGAAGGGCTAATGTCTTCTTCCAAGGGGAGATGATACAGAATTAGTGAAAAATCACTGAGAATTATATGGGCAAGTAGGGCTGTCACGGTTCCAAAATTTTTCGGGTCGGGTCGGTTCTGATTTTTTTAGGTTCGGTTTCGGGTATTTCGGTTCGGGTAATTAATGGAATAAAAGCTAATGATATGTATTATTTTCAACAACAAAAAGAATATTTTCATTTAATCTTCGAAATAGCAACATTTTAACTAGTTTTAAGTAGCTTCCTGACTAGACAACAATTGTACCATATTATTTAAATCACCTTATAATTGCAATGTATTAAGAAATCTCTCGTTTTTGATGCCATTTTTATAGTAAAACCTACACTACTATACAAATCCGAACCGAACCGAATTCCGGAAAAACAGAACCGTACCCGAACCGAATGAATTGTTCCGCGGTTCCGGGTCATTTCGGGTACCCGTGACAGCCCTATGGGCAAGATATTTAAAAATCTTCTTCTCAAGAATAGTAAAGCCATGATGAGTCATATTTGTATTGAAGCATCTTCAGGTAGTATAGATTCAGGTTTGTTCAGATCATGACCCCTGGGGTAGGGCAGAGCCACAATGGATGATCAAAGTTTTATATAGGGATATATTGGAAAAATCTTCTTCTCCAGAACCACTGGGCTAAGAAGGATGAAATGTTTAAACATCTTCAGGTAGTGTAGATTCAAGTTAAGTAAAATCATCATCCCCAGGGGTTGGATGGTTCACGATGGATAATGAAAGATTTACATAAGCTTATTTTATCACTTTATTTTACTCGCATTTTCTATGGATCTTCTATGGATTGTTATTTTATTCTCAGGTGACCATTAAGGCCCTTGGGCCTCTTGTTAAGAGCCATTCTCTGTAATGATTTGAAATTTTGTATAGGAGCTGTGGCACTCATAGTCTCAGAATTTCTCCAAACTCTCTATGGTAAAAGTCATTGATACCTTAAACTGAAATCAGGCAAAAATTGGTTGCTATGTTTGATAGTTACCATGGCAACATGTCTTAAAGTTCGAAAAATGGCATTTTTTAACATGTTTAGAGACCCATAGTTAACATTTGCGGCAAAGCAAACAATTGGCAATGACTGTTTCCAAAAGTTGAAGGTCAGATGTCTCAAATGCATGATAAAAAGTTGAAGGTCAGATGTCTCAAATGCATGATAAACATGTCTGGTAAATCAACTATTACATACGTTACTATGGTAACAAAGTATTCAAAAGTAGAAAAAAACATATTCATTGAATTTTATAAAGTCATACACGTAAAAATAAAAAGCAATTATAGGATGAAATGTGACCAAATAATAGAAAAAAGAGCCTTGAAACATTTACCAAGAACAAAATATGATATTTCATTTTGGTTGGCAATGGTTGCAAAGGTTTTTATACCACAGAGAGCCTTCAAAGTAACACTCTGTATGTTTAAATCTTATCCTATCTTTTAAAAAAGCACATTTCCTCATAACTAATGATCAATTTTTAAAGATGTTGGTATGCTCCTAGTTTTTCCATTTGAAAAAATTCAGATTAGATTAAAAAATTCAGATTAGATTCTTTAAATAGAGCGTTGCTATGGAAATAAGCAGAAAATATATGCTTAAAAACCTGAAAAATATTTTCGTTTCTTGGATATGTACCCTTAAATGTAGATTCCCAAAACTTTTATGATTGATATTTATTAACAGTTATCCGGACTTTTAATTTTGACAATCATCCAATCTCTAAGTGGATGGAAGAAGTTGGCACACAGGGTTTAATTTTGATATAAAGTTCACAAAATAGAACATTTTACTTTCTTGGTAACCATAGCAACAGTGTTGTTTTCTTTATCAAATTTTATCAATATATGATATTCAACTTCAGTTCTAACAGATAAGTACTACAGTGTATTCAAGCTGAGTCCTTTAATTTGTTTCTTGATTATATGGCAATTTAATTCTTAATGCAGCAAAAAATAATTCACTTTTAAGCACTGGTACTTTTTTCCTATGGTAACACTGTAAAGTAGCAATTATACCCAATTTTCTTATGATTTTGGTGTTGCAAGGACCTAAGGATGCATATTTGCCAGTCTTGAATTTTCATGTTTTTCCTCAAGACAGTAGCATTATCCCAATCTTAGTTACTAGTTTTACATGGTTACACTGTGTTACCATGGCAACCATAAAAGTTATTTATAGAATAATATTGCTTATACTTATATACTAAAGGTCACATTTTCATTGTTTTTCTTAAGTCGTTGATTGAGTTTAAGCATGTAACACCTACCATTAGTGAATACGGAGTGTTTTTCAGCATATTTCAGTATTTTAAATGTATTCCAAATGCACCCTTGGTTACCGCTTACTTAGAGATATATTCTAAACAGTTTCTTTACAGGATAAGCGACATCAAGGTGTCATGTTTTTGTGACAGTGGTTTGTTTGCTTTTTCTAGTTTTATTAAGCCACAGTCAGGATTTAAAGTGGCTGAAAATCTCGATTTTTCAAACTTTTCCGGCTGTTGCCATAGCAACCGAGACACTTAGTAATGAAATTTTGTTTGATATTTGTTTCTGGTGTCAAGTACTAAGCATGGGTGAAGTTTCATCAAAATCGGTGACCATGCGTGGCAACGAAGTTTAAGTGGTTACAGAGAATTGCTATTAATTACACCTCTTATAATTATCACTCTCGTTGAAAAAAAAAAATTAAATTTTCTTTGCAGGTGACAGTTACACATCTAGAGTTAACTGAACTCAGCTGGGAAAAAATTCAAAATACCACCAGAAAGGGACCACTTAAGCATGTGGAGAAACCGGTTCTTCACTACAGTCGACAATATGACTTTTTGAAAAAATCGGATAGACAAGAATTGTTTAAGGTTATTCTCCATATAAAATTAATGCATTTTGTTCATGAAAAAGTAGCAGGGCAGAGAAAAACTAAGGGGACAACTAACATCCTGTCTAAAAAAAGATTTTGACAAATCACCATCATTAATGCTGTATTGAAATAGACAAGAGGTATTTTTTGGAGTATTTCAACCAAAGAGTAGGTCTGGGTGACCTATGTTTGAAATTTTTTGGTTGTATTTAGATATTTCAGATACCACCTGTATCTGAAGTAATTTGTATTAATTTCCTGACCCGAATTGTTAGAACTTTTATATGATATGTTTCTTATATAATATAAGATTGTAAATTGTTCAAATCATAGTCCTCGGGTGTAGGCTTGGATCACAAAATAGGGCTGATTTTAAGGGGGGAAATGTCTCTGACTAAAAATTCCACAGAAAGGGATAATAAAAAAATGAAATCTGATGAAAAACTACAACAGAACCATTGATTTGCAACAACCCATTTTCATCTCAAGAACCACCGAGCCAATTTCAACCAAAGTTGCACAAAGTATCCCTGGGTAAAGGGTATTCAATTTTATACAAATGAAGGGCCATGCCCTTCTTCCAAGGAAAGATAATTATGAATAAGTGAAAAATTAATGGCATCATTTAAGAACCTTCTTCTCAAAAACAACTGTGCTAGAAAATATGAAACTTACGTGGAATCATCCTCAGGCAGTGTGGATTCAAGTTTGTTCAATTCATGACCCCCTGGGGTTGGATGGGGCCACAATGGGTGATCAAAGTTTTACATAGGAATACATAAGGAAAATCTTCTCAAGAACAGCAAAGCCATGATTAGTCATATTTATTTGGAAGCATCCTCAGGTAACGTAGATTCAATTTTGTACAAATCATGACCCCTGGCGGTTTGGGGGGGGGGGGGGGGGGCACAGTGGGCAAGCAATGTTTAATACAGGAATACAAAGGGAAAATCTTTAAAAATCTTCTCAAGAAAAGCAAAGCTATGATTGGTCATATTGATATGGAAGCATTCTCAAGTAGTGTAAATTCAAGTTTCTTCAAATCATGACACCCAGGGGTAGGGTAGGGCCACAATGGGCAGTCAAAGCTTTACATACATAGAATACATAGAAAAATCTTTAAAAATCTTCTTCTCAAGAACAGCAAAGACATTTATTTTTATATTTAAACTTTTCAATACTGAATTGATATCTGCTTTTTCGTAGCCAAAGTGCTGAAGAGAACAATGTGGCCCATGTGCCTCTTATTTGACTTTTTGTAGAAATATAAATATTTAATAAAGTTGTGTTGTTTTGACCAGAAAATCAAATTTTTAAAGCATAGAAAAATTACATGTTTGTTAGGATAACTTAAGTGATACATCCATAAAAGTTATATGCATTGTATAAAGAAATTATGAAATTAAGAATATACTTTCTGAATGTTTTGAGTATTACATAAATATTGATAATTTATTGTCTACCTTTTATATTTTTGTCACATTAATTGCATTGTACAGATAATGTTGTATATTATCAGGTTCACCATTCTTTAAATTTATATAATTATGTAAATGTTTATGACATGAATAATTTCAATTGTTAACACAATGTGAATAATAACAAGGCAGCTTCCATAGCCAATGAATTAATATATGTTTAATTGGTGTAATACATGTCATCTTAAAAGTAAAATGTGTTTTTTTTATAACCATTTGTCATCTCTAATAAATCCAAAGGAGATGGATGAACTTAGCGTGCAGAAAGCCCAATAGCTTCAGATATATAAAAATCATATTCAAATTGTGAATTTAGTATTTAGAGTAAAGTTCTAATCACTGAGTTTTATGAAATCTTGAAAGTTTTGAGGAAAATTTTTCGTTAAAATTTATGCTTTTATATAAAAAAAATAATGTGGTATCCATTAGGTTCGAACCCTGGCAATAAAAATCCTGAGTTGCATTCTCTAAATTAGGACTAAGTTATATCTTAGGAAAGAACTTTTTCCTAAGTTCATTACTTATCCGTTTCACTCACCTCGTCTTATCTTAGGATATTCCTAAGTTATGTCGTAACTTTAGTACAGGTAAATCGATGACTTAGGAAGAAACTAAACATTGCGGCTGCATATCCAAGATTTCTTATGGAGAAAGAGAATGTGTTTGGGTAGAGAAATCCAATGGACTACTCGTATATGGATGATTGTGTTCTCTCCAGTTTAAAACTGCTTTACTTTGCATGGAATTACTAGGATTTAATTAATAATTTTTAATGTGTCAAAATTAGTCCAAGATATATAAAAATGTCCGTTCATTTTGGGGCACTAGAGCTGGCGAATTAAATGGCACACATGCTGGAGTAATTCCCCATCATTTGAAGAGCACGCCTTTGTAAACAAAAAAAGAACATGCATGATTTGATCCATTATTATACATGCATGCATACATTACGTTTATATCTACAGGTACATGTATATTTATTAAAGTATATAGTAATCGGTATGTACGTTCGTCCGTCCGTCCGTCAGTTACGCTTTGGGGTACCCATCTCTTAACCGCAACTCCTCTCATACAACTGAATGAAATTTTTTAATCGATATTAAACAAGAATTTGAAAAAACGAAATTTTACATTAATGAAAACAGTTGTTCACTTTCGAGAAGTACGTGATTCTTGATGAACCCCAACCAAGCTCCGGATATATATCAGTACATGTACATGTTTCTCCCAACAATTGTTGGATCTAATCTCCTTTAGGACGTTATTATAATATATATATATATATTTTTATATTAATAAACGTTCACGTATAAATGTGTAAATGTGTTCAAATAAAGACTGCTATACTTAGCAAAATGTGATTATTGACAGCCAGATAGTTCAGAATTAATATTATTTAAACCATATCGCAAATTAAATTTGCAACTTTATATCAATTTTAAAGTTAGGTACGACTGATAATTATCAACTTGACTTCAATGGCATTAAAACTACAGCCATTTTTAATTCCTATATTGCTAATAAATTTAGAAATAAAGGGGAAACTTATCATTTCGTTATAACGAGATAACTAACTCGTTATAACGAGATAATTAACTCGTTATAACGAATTAACTAACTCGTTATAACGAATTATTTATCTCGTTATAACGAGTTAATTAACTCGTTATTAATTAACTCGTTATTACGAGAAAACTAACATAACCTATCAATACAGTGTCAACTAGATCTATTTGATAAAATTGTGCAACCTATTTTGTTATATGGATGTGAAGTTTGGGGATTTTCAAGTAATGCAATAATAGAAAGGGTTCACCTAAAATTTTGTAAACTTCTACTCCATTTAAAATATTCAACCCCCGATTTCATGATATATGGCGTACTTGGCCGACACCCCATGGAAATCCAAATAAAAACGCGCATGATATCTTATTGGTCAAAATTAATCACTGGAAAGGAAATTAAAATTGCAAATTTATGTTATAAATTAGGCTTCATTATAAATCAAGAAATAGGAGGGAAAATTGTTTGGCTTGAAAATATTAAAAATATCTTAAATAACTGTGGACTCTCAAATGTATGGCTTGAACAAAACCCAATTAATATTAAATGGTTAAAGGCGAAAGTTAAACTCGCATTAATAGATCAATTCAAACAAAGTTGGCAATCAATCCTTCAAACCTCACCAAAGCTTTAAATTATAGAATATACAAAGACGAACTAAAATTTGAAAACTATTTTAATATTTTATCAAAAAAGGACTTAATAACATTCTGTAGATTCCGAACGTGTAACCATCATTTACCAATTGAAAGTGGACGTTGGTTTAATATACCAAAACAAGATAGAATTTGTCCCCATTGTAATTTAAAAGAACTCGGAGACGAGTTTCATTACATATTAAAGTGCAACTCGCTACAAACAGAAAGAAAACTATGCTTAACAGAAAAACACATAAAATTCCAGAATATAATTAGTTTCAAAAACATTATGAATAACAATAAACACTGCTTTCTAAGAAAATTGTGCTCCTTTGTAAAGAAAATAAATAAAATATGCTCCCCGGCCTAAATTCCCATACTTCACATTTATAGTAAGCTACATTTTTTTTTCTTTGTTTTTGTTTAGTTTCTTATTCACGCATGCCTTTCACGACCTATTGTTGTATATAACATCATCTATGTGTTTTTTGTAGTCTCTGTACGCTATTGTAAAATGGTGAAGAAATTCAAAATAAATGATTGATTGATCGTTATAACGAGATACTAACTCGTTATATAACGAGATATTAACTCGTTATAACGAGATAAGTAATTCGTAATAACGAGATAAAACTAAGCCATTAATTATACTAACGAGATAATTAACTCGTTATAACGAGATACTAACTCGTTATAACGAAATACTAACTCGTTATTATGAGATAATTAACTCGTTATGTCGAGCTAATTTTTTTTTTTCAGAAATGAGCCTATCCGGCTTTCGTATGTACACTATGCGAATCAATCATTTTTGAATTAATTTCATTTACTTATTGACAAGTAGAAAAGCATAGTAAAAAACAATACCTGAGATCGATACCTTATAAAGATCAAATTTTAAAAAGTAAACGTATAACACGTAGAACAATTTTTGAAAAAAATAAAAATATGTGCCCGGAAGGGAAGAGGGCTTGAAAGGGTTAGTATGTGAATGCTTAGTTCTAGGAGCAAACTTTGCTAAGTTAAAACTTCTGTCCAAGTCCTTTGAAAGTACGCAATTCCCAATCCTCCCGCCCCTCCCTTTTTGAAGCAAAAAATATAAAACACTGAGAGTTGAAGATAGGGCGGCGAAATTATTTCATTAGTCAATATAGAGGCACAACTTAGGAAATGACTTAGGAAAATTTTAAGATAAGATTGTTTTGTGAAACAGCTGTGACAAATCATAAGAACTTCCTAAGTTTTAACTTAGGCATATCTTAAGTTATGTCTTACGACATATCTTAGGAAACGTTTGTGAAACAGGCCCCAGCACGCTAATCAATACGCTACACAAGTCCTGATGAAGTGTAGCATTTTAATGATGTTTGTGATATGACCATTGACTTGAGGGTCATAAAATTATATTTTTAAGGTATAGTGGGTCTTTGCTCCATAACTTTGGAAACTAAAATATGTATGTTTGTATGCAAACTTTGGGGATTAACTTTCAAAAAAATGGAGAGAAGACCCACTCATATCGATTAATAGTGTTATACTGTGAAAAAATGACTCGTTTTGTCCTTTTTTGTGTGTGTATAATACTTCATAGGCAAATAACTTCAATCTTTATGAGATTGGTGCAAGTTGTAGAGATTTTACATAAAGTATACTTTAATGTTAGATGGAATATTGAGGAAAATTTTGATATAATTGAGATTTAATTTTTCACATTCATGTTTCTCGCGTTATGGGCTTATCTCTCGTCATATTCACCCATCTCCTTTTAACCATACCATTATATTTGCATACTTTCTGTTTTTTCCAACCATGAACCTGCACTCAAAAGTTCCATTCATAATACAGAAATAAATTAATTTTAGTTTTTGAAAGTTCATCAGGACATGAACTATGACGCTTCATGCTGCCATATTTTATGAAGAGCGTATGCTCTTTGTTAAAACGCACTTAAAAAAAATTACACACTGTGAAAAGATTTTTCAAAGTGTTTTGATTTGGTCCCAAATTTAACGCACTTTGCAAAATTTCTTTTCAAAGTGCGTTAATTAATGTCAATCATATGAACGCACTTTGAAAAAATGTGTGTGGCTTGTTCAATATTGTTATAAATCTTGGGATGTCAAATAATTGAACCTGTTTGATACATGTAACTCTTCGGTGATGAGGTCACTTCAGGATGTCAAAGTTAGTGATTTTGATTTTTCCATATTTTGATTTTTTTCCCTCTTAAATGTTTCACTGTCCTTCTTTTTTTCAGTTTGCATGCATTCTATGTAAACTAAAATTTATTGAAAGTTTTTAACGTCATACCAGTTATGCAAATACATATATTTGGATGTAGCATAGGCATCTCTATCGGGGAGGGGGTAGTCACACAAATGTTTTACAAAGATATACATTATTTAGGCATTGAAACTGGGGGGATCCACTTTCAATTTGCTACCGACGGCTATATACAATGTAAAAGAAAAAAAAAGAGTTCGACTGAGAGACCTTCTACTCGTCTTTTCTTTGTTCTCAGTGAGGTTAAATAAGTACATGTAAATAAAAGTTTTTCGAAAGATATAATCACACAAGTTGATTCTCTCAATAACTAAAATCGATAAGTCTAGAATTTGTTTTATGCATATTTTTTTTTTCAAAGTGCGTCAAGTGTCCCCATGGTAAAAAATGTTATGTGCACTCTGAACGCACTTTGCATTTTTTGTTCAAAGTGCGTTTTTTTTTTTTCAAAGTGCGTTGCCACACGCTTCATGATAAATATGCTGGCGAGAAGAGTAGTAGTTCACGTATATCAGGAATTTTCAAAAACTAAATTCATATCTGTCAGTGATATTAATATGATTTTCTGGTGAGTTGCAACAAATTATGCCATTTAACTGTCATTTTTAAAGCAAAATCCTTTGCACTATAGTTTTGACGTGAAGCATGTTTATTATGACGTAACAATGGAGACCAGCTTATTTATGGTAGCTCATGAGAAAATGAATGGTTCGGTGTTCATAAAGAATCATAGTTAATTATCAATTTAATCTGAAGCACAGAGATAACATTTCTTTATCCAAAAAGTACGAAACTGATTTTATAAAAGCTCCTACCAAAATATAGATAGCATTTTGTTCAATAAAAGAGGTCAAATATAACTAAAAGCACTTTATTACAGATACAGACCCGTTCAGTACAATGGGAAGAAAATGGATAAAGATATGCATGTTGCATACACGTTCCAATATTTGTGGATATAGCGTATATCGCAGTTCGGTTATTAAGAACATTTTTAAAAGATCCTCTTGAAGATTAGGAAAAAATTAAAATAACTCATTATTGATTCTTTAGCCAGACTTTAAGCATTAAATTGAGACAAAAACGTACGTAATCTTTCATGCAAAGGTTGAACTTTTTTTTTTAAATTCCGTTAATGAGTTTTTGAGACAATGTATTTCAAATATTGTGCCACAAAACTTTAACGTTTTAAATATCCTTACCTGAAAGACCGTTACTACGGTTGTATTATTGCGGGGTAAATTTGAACTCATAAAAAGCAACACAATTTTACATCCATAGATGTTTAATTATTCTAAAATTAAATCATAAGGAATTATTCTAATTCTTTGCTTTGCGGATTATTACGTGTGAACTGACCCAAACCAGATTATACTTGATAATGCGGCCATGGATAAGTGTCATTCCTTAAATAGATAACTATAAAATATTCAAATTTTATGTTTGACTTCAAAGTTGCAAGTATCATTATTTAAAAGTTAACAATACGTGACTCATCTAAATATGAAATAAAAGTTTAAAGTGGAAGCCTCTATTGATTTTATTAATCACAGATAAAAGCAATTATGATCAATATTTTACGCATGTTTTTGTTCTACGGGCTGTTTCTCGGAGATGGCTTGGACAATCTTCATGAAACTTTCCTCAAAGACGATCACTGGCTGTAATTGTATTGTGTGGTCATTCAGTTTCAAAATGGCTACCGTTGCCATGGAAACCTGCAAAAAAGCAACGAATTTTGTCCAAGAGTGTTGATCTCTCTGGTCCCTTGGACATTCGTCATGAAAGTTTATTGATTTAATAATTAGTATCTGTAATTGTGCGTGTTGCATTAAAAAATTGCAAATTGTCAATAGTTGCCATGGAAACAGGGGTAAAGAGAAAATTCTTTAACTTTAATTTTTAAATCAAAGCATCATAGGGACTGATACGAGTTGATGGTTGTCCAAGCTTAGCTAATGGGTATTGTTTTAGTGATGAAAAAATGAAAGTCTTATCCAGTTCGGGCGACATACAACCGTTCACGGTAGCTCAGTCGGTAGCGCGCTCGCTTCGTGAACGGGAGGTCGTGAGTTCGCATCTCGACCGCGACTGACCTAAGTCGATAAAAAATGGGTAGAAACTGTTCCTTCGCCATGCGCTCGGCACTTTGAAGTGAAAGTTGCGGGTCCTTCGGATGAGACCTTAAAAACCGAGGCCCCGTGTCAGCAGCAGGTGTTGGCACGATAAAGATCCCTCACTGCTCAATGGCCCCGAGTGCCGAGTAAAGGTCAAAATTTGAAGCCCTTCACCGGCATACGGTGACGTCTCCATATGAGTGAAAAATTCTCAAGAGGAACGTTAAACAATATACAATCAATCAATCAATCGGGCGACATACATGTACGCTATTGCTTGCAATAGCAGACGTTCTAGTTTTTTTTAATTACAGTTGTAATATTACCACATACATGTATATAACAGGAAGTTTAAAATACAACGCAAATGTTAACTACGATTTCTTCCGGGATAAAGAATTTAATTTTTTTTCAGATGAGGATTATCAGCATTGCATTTTTTATCAAAATTTATCAACGGGTAAGACTAAAATATGAATGTATTTAACATAATGAATGCTTGATGTAATTTGTGGTTGTGGTCGTCTTAAAATATGTAACATTTATTTGAAGAATAGATTATAAAATATGTATTTAAAAAAAAAATTAAAATTGTAGTTTCAACAATTAAATGTCAAAATTAAAAAAAAGAAAACAATCCATTTAAAACTGCTTTAACACAACCTAAATTCTTAAACAGCACTGTGATTGGGCGAATTTAAAACGGGGCAATATTGTTAGCAAGTGTAAAAGGGCGAAAAAAACATTGAGCTAAAATAACCTTGCATACAGTATTTTCATAAAAACTAGGGATGGCACTTTGTAACCGGTTAAATCGGTTGGAAAACGGTAATTGGTTAGGTAATCTGTAATCGATTAGTCATGAAAATATAATATTTAGTGGTATTTATGGCTCCCGATATTGAGATTGGGGGTAATTGTTCAGTTTGTGTAGTGTTACGTTTATTTAGACTAGACAAAGCTCAATCAGCTCAAACAAAAAAGCCTATGCCCTTGCACTTTTGGTGTAAATCACGAATACGCTTATCGTGCTAGCGATATTTTCCACATTCCTTGTCCCTGTGCAGCTTCAATGCTACTAGATAAATTCATATTCTATACAAATTGTATTTAATAAATTATTTTGTTTTAGTTTTAATGATTATTAAAAAATTAGCGACGATATTATATTTATTTAAGCACTTTTGTTATTTTAAACCAGTGAATCTCGTCCTCTTGATCACCTGTACTGCGTTATTTCAAGGCTGATGACGTCATATTTGACGAGTGGCTTTCTTCTATTACTCAAATGTATTGCTATCAAATATTGCAATTTTACAAGATTTTTATAAATAATTGATAAAATGAACAAATCTAAGATGTTATTTACGCATCACAATATCATTAAAGTCATATACGCTGTATGAACCCCGAATTTTGTGTGAAACAAAATGATTAATGATTTAAAACACATGAAGTGTAATGAAAAATAATTCTTTCCACAAACTTGTACTATAGATGTCGTTGTAATAACAAAACAATTAAACATATCTAGGAATTAAGAATTCAGTCTTTTCATGAATATTGATGAAGGAAGTGCGTAAACAGTAGGCCTATATATAGAAACACATGTCCACGGGATATCACAGACAACGAGGTATGTTGCATTTTGACAACAATTATTAATATAAGGTCAATATGCGTCATAACAGAGAAGATGGTTGATACTGAATACATTAAAAGATAAGTACCATTAAGAGAAAGACGCTTGCCATCCACGTCAAAAGTGAGTAGTATCTCAAACGGCCTACCTTGTTTTCTTTGTACGCCACGTGTATTTATCAATCTAAAAGTAGCGACGGCGTCACGTGATGGATTTATTTAAAAATAGCTATTTTTTTTCCTTGCAGGATAATAAATAATTATAATTTGATAACTTCGTAACGCGTTTAATTTTAATGGTGTAATTTACAGTATTTTCGTAACTTTTATTGATAAACAAATGATATCAATTTCCAATCGTATTTTAACTGGCGCAAGTTATAGCGTGTATACTTTTAATTAAATCTGTGGCTTGTTAAATTATCCGTGACGTCACAATTAACTTTCTATACAGTATACGAATTTGAACTCTGACCTTCCTTAACATAGCTGAGTTACTTTTATGTTCATCGGTCTTGGTTATTTCTTTAAAAGTGGATCAGGTGCATTCATTACGAAAATAAATGACTAAGGGCTGTTTATGACAAAGAAATCAGAAGTATACTGTTTCAAAGACTGGAAGATTGTCAACTTTCAGTATACAGAGTGCTTTAGTATAAGAGCTACATTATTCATATGCGGGAATGTCATTTTCAGTTTGTGAGTATATTATGTCGTAATTCGTTTTTTGATAAAACTTTTATAATATTGCTGTGTTTATATAGCGAGGAAAAACTTTTTTCTCAAATTCAAAAATTTAAGATTAACAGTACTCACTCTAGACGGATCTATTCTCTTTTCTGAAATGTGAAATAAGAAAACTTTAACGTTTATGTAGAAATGAAGTACTATAATTTTACATTGCCATTCAGTGGTCATGGATAAAAACAGTAAATTATCATTAACAATAATTTTTGAATTTAATCAAAGATGCTGCCATGGTAACTGAAATTGAAATTTCTGTACAATTATTTAAGATGCTATTCCGACAGTTGTTGTCTTGTTGCAGTTTACCCACAAAAAGAGACAATCAAGGATCCTTATTATATTTATATTTTCTTGCAAGTTTCAAGTTCAACTGCTACTTTTCATTGCCTTCGTTACAAGTTCAAACCAGTAGAGCTACACTCTCGACAGAGACTTCTGGTTTCTTGTTCATTGAAATTGAAATCTTAAAAGTTTTATATGTACGTGTAGTTTTCTGATCAAGACTGAAGGCAAATAAAATGTTGTTGTTTTTCTTTTTTATTTCTGTTGTTTTTAAAAACATTTTATCTATACGGAAAAAAACTTCTTGAAATTTAGAATTATAAGATTAGTCTGGACGCATTGCTGATAACCGATAAGCAATTATATATTTTATTGCCATGTGCTTTAGAAATACTTATCACTGTGCATTTGTTTTTACTTTTACTAAGTACCTAGTTTGTAAGGATAAAGTGACAGTGCATATGTCAATCAAACGCATACCAAAATAAGTAGTTTTAATAATGCACATTAAAAATTCTAAACACTCTTCTATTATATTTAGAAGTGAAATGCTCTAACAGTCGCATCAGTCAATATATTAAAGTGAAATCATTGGAAAATATTAACTTCAAATCTCGGTTCCAGACCCACCAATAAATATTGACAATTTACCTCGTTATGAATATTTGTTTGCATACCTTGTTTTGCTTACGTTGTTGCACTTTTAAGACTATATCTGTAAAAACAAAACAAGAAAACTTTAATGAAGCTTACGAAACAAGAATAATACGGGATGACATCAAATAAATCCTTTAAATCAACAAATCACAAATAAATTTATTGTATTTTCCAACTAAGTTTTTATTCAAATTAAAGTTCCTTTTATATGTAACAATCTTGAGACTTACAATATGTAACCACTATAGTTTACATAAATTTTATAGGATTATATTTTAAATGAGTTTAGAATGAAGATATTCAAGATGCTTTTAAATATAATACTTGCGGTACATAACATTTTACTTGTTATTCACTGTTTTTCAACATTAGGGTTTGTATATTTAAGAGGCAATTTGAAATATACAGTCAATCCGGATGTGTTGTGGATGAAGAGTTGTTAAGTTTCTGAATATAAACAAGAAGAAGGTACTGATTGTTTGCATAAAACAAGGATGAAATTATATATGCTTAGTGGTTACATTTCGACGACTTTCTCATAATTGCCGAGTACAAACAATTTGTTCCTTAACACAATGACTTACTCTTTATTATTTTTACATTTTTTTTAAATTTAGATTAGAAAAGATGTGTCAGAAATGAAAAAGTGTAAATCATCGCTGCATTGCCTGTTCTGTTTATCACTTCTGGTATTGAATGGTAAGTATACTTTTAACAATGTGAAGTAAAGTATTATTTTGTACATTTGAGGATATTTATATAAAAGAAAAGATGCGTTCATCCGAAAAAGCTCTACTTTTCATAAGAGGATTATCTAATACGAAAGGCATTTTAACGAGATAATTTTGTATCCCTTTGTAACAAACGAATTATCTTATCATGAGATGTATAGCCGCCTCATGCTATATGCTATGGCATATCAACATTGATTTAACGTTGAATCAACGTTGCCCTTAAACCTTGAATTTACGTTAAAATTTGATTACATATAGAAATTGAAGCAATTAATGTTGAAACTTTAGCGTTGTTTCAACGTCAAATATTTGGCATAATACTGATTTCATGATAATGTCAAAAATATGGATATCGAAGTTTTATTACATTTTCATGGATACACGCTTGTTTTATTTATTATGACACACTGTCAAGTGTGTACAAAATATTTATGTTTAGACCATAATGGATTTAATTTTAAAACTCAAACATTTACAATAGTAAACGAGCGTTATCTCGTAAAGTTCATCTTCAACGTTGTTTCCACAAATATCAATGTTGAACAAGAAAGCATTGATTAACCATCAATTGTCGCCCGGGAAATATAAAGTAAACAATGGAAATGAGTTTTGATCATCAAACCGCTTCGCTATGTGTAAAAAAAACATGCATCTAAATGATGGAGACGATAGTCGAGAATATTTTGAAAACTTATAGTAGGATGAAAATCGAACGAAAATGATACCCTTTTAAACTTTATCAATGCCTCAAGTAAATGTAGGCTATATAAAATATAAATTAAAACTAGACACATGCATTACCTATAATCAAAATTGTATTTTACTTTAAGAATATAAAACACGAACTGTGTAGAGTACGTTTTATGCGATAAGTAAAATTTGATGTTCTTAAAAAAGGGACCTGTCGTTTTTTTAATAGTAAAAGATAAGTAATTTTATATATCAAAAATACGAAAAACATGCATATTTTTGCAGACTCACTTTATGGATGTAAATATATTATGTACTTTAATTTATAAATGGAAAGAACAGTCTGATTAACAATCTTTTCATTGTTTAAAAAACCTTTAATTTTGAATAACTTCTCCCACCTCAATCCCCATACACCAACACTTAAACTTATATGTATAGAGCAGCCCGGTCCTCCGGACTGCAATAAACGTTGAACACTGGTTGAAAGAAAGGTTCATTTTTCTTTGATATATTTGCCAAACTGCTATTTCTATATCGTGGTTTTATATAGATTTGTACCTTTTTTCAAATTTTAGAAGCATATCATTAAACTTCTTTTTAAAAGCAATTGTTTAAAATTAAATTTTCCTGGAATGTAAAAAAAAATGCTTATATGAAATGTCAATTACAAACCAGTAGTTCTGTATGATTTTAAGAGCGTTCTCATGACATTTTAACAAAATAACATAAGCATTTTGTGTCAAAGATTTGTGACACATACAAAAAAAACTTCATTGTGATTACAATTAAACATATTTCAGTGAACATTGAACGCATAAGTTCTACGCAGTCAATATTTTGTGAAATATCACCCGTCGTCAAGCAGTATTGACTGTATTGCTACTCTTGAGGGCATGGTTTTATTACTAGTACTCTTTGGGTCATAATGTTTCTAAACAAATGTTTCCCGACCTATTTGATTCATGTAATTTGCATGAAAGTAAAATATATTAGAAATAATGACTGAACATGCAGGCTACATATCTAAATTAGAGAAAATGTCAACAAAATGTGAACAAATTGTGAGAGTAACTTTCGAATCGAGACTGATACATAAAAAAAAAAAGAAAATCTAAAATACTTAGGATGAGGGAAATTATTCGGAAGCGTATATGTACATGTATTTACACTTGTGTGAATTAGACCTACACGTTGTCTTAGTTGATATTCTTACCAACATGTAAAATGTTACATTTCCTGATATATTTTTACACATATTTTGAATTGTATCATTTGATGTTTTTTGCAAAACTCACAGTACCTTCTTTGATTTGATTGAACTTTTAGCTATAAACTATTTACAATTAAAAAGATATTAAGAATATTCATTTTATTTACATGTATTATCACAGCAAGAGATTTAATAATTTCTGCCCCTTGAGGTCAAATATACATGTACGGCTACTCTGTCCCGAAAAGACACATTCAAAATTGTGAGGTAAAGGGTTTCAACTTATTATTGTTTGGTCCTGATTAAATAATCATTACCGTTTTTTTTTTTTGGTTCAGTTGCAATCTCGCTCACGGATATATGTACCCCGTATGAATGTGGCTGGAATGGAAAAATTTCCTAAATCTCTAACTGGAATAAAAATGTATTGAACTGATTCTAAAGTATAAAGCCTGGTATTTTGTCCATAGGAATAAGGGTCATAAGCAATTTTTTTTTATAATAAGCAAATAACTACATGGCATTGCATAGCTATGATGTTCCAAGGTGCCTCTTCCAAAATTGAAATTTTTGGCCCACGGGTGACAAGTACTGGTTGGGGTACGGGCTGTGTTTGATTATACAGTCAAAACGCGTTAAGTCTTTAAAAACCATCTGTGAACTTGTGTATGTACCAAATAAAGGTAAAGCATAGTTGTGCTGAGCAAGATAGTCAAATTTATGATTGTCTATGGCCCCCTGATCTGATGTTCAAGGGTAAGGGGCGGATATGATTGAACATATCGTGAATATGCATTTGATTATCTGAAAAATGTCTTCTTTTGTACTGGATATTTAGCAGATACAGGTGAAATAAGAAGATTTGATCGCTACAATGTAGTATAAAATGCATTTTTATAGTTTTAATGGTCGAGCGGATTTGTAATTAAATACGAGGCGCATATATATTAAATAAAACATTAAATGTTACATGTATTCTAAGAGCGACAAGAGGACAATAAGTGAAAAGTATTGTACTGAATGTACCTTGGAAACACTGTATTTTACGCATAAGCATTATTGTAATATAGTGATGGAGTGTAGTTAGCACTAAATATATAAGTCTCTGAGTTGTTGCTGATTACATGTACCCAGCTAGTTATTGTGTTAATCCCTGATCAACCGGATTCCCTTTCCCATTTGTATATTTTATATATTTACCATTCCATGGTTAAAAGGGTTTCTGTTAGAAATTGTTGAATACATCTACCAAATTTCACCAAGAAAATTTAGAGAGAAGAATGACTACACTGTCTTAATAGTTTCTAAAGAGCCCTCAGAGTATGTAATTTTATCAAATTAAAAAGAAGATGGCATAAATTATAATTTAAAATAAAATATGTTGATTTTTATTTTTAGTTGATATCATAAGTATGTCTTGGAATTGGTTTGAGGCTCAGCGATATTGCAGTAAAAACAATGACACATTAGAATATAATGCCTCTTCCAATTCAACAGTGGATTTTTGGTCTGGTGTATACAAACGACACTCATTGTGGATAAAAATTCTAGGTAAATTGTGTTTGAGAGATAGAGAAAGAGCTTGATGTTTTATTAATATCTGCAAGTGTCAAATTCAAAATGCAATACATGTATGCATTTACCCTTTTTATTTGATATGGAAAGATTTCAGGTAAGGTTACAATTTATTGTAGGCTGTTATGATTTAAACGCGGTACAACACCACGAAGAATTCCAGATGCACTATCTGTCAGCTGGATTTTGTCAAGAAATGTGTACAACTGTAAATTCAACCATTTTTGGAATTAAGGTAGTATTTACAGAGAATATTATCCCATTTTTTTCTATGAGGCCATCTTTGAAATAATGTTTGCTTGCTCTTTCCCGACAACTCAGGGTAATAATAGTAGTTCGGTAGGTAAGTGGCAAAATATTTTTTTTCTTAAAAAATTCAACATATATGTTGACCAAATGGGAAAATTTCAGAAAAATCTAAATTCCCAGTTTTAAAGTTCTGAGGGTATCATCCCATTGATTTGGGTAATAAAGAAGTGGTTGAAGTTACGTCTGCTATCCCATATCATCTTTATTTTGTATCGTTAATACCTGTCCCTCGTAAATTTCTTTTCAGTAATACTTTCAAACTGAGAATATTTTATGGATTCTTTGCAGAAAAATAAATGTGTGTGCATTAAGAGTCCAGTTTTGGCTAGAACGATTCCATCCAACTTCTGTAATGAAGCATGCAATCAAGACACAAGTGACATACAATTCTCAGAATGCGGTGGATCTAACGCCTACACTTTATACATTGCAGGTTAATTCCATTACTGAAATATGGTGATTAATAAATGTTGTGCTCCTTACATTTTTTTTAATAAAAATATTAGTAATACAGAGATATATCTGCTACCGTTTTTTCTACAATAATTCATTGGTACATCAGTATATAAGGTAATACGACGACATTAAACCCGTAACTTTAAAAAAAATTGTGCATCAAATCATAGGTTTGTTTTTATCATTTTAAATATTTATTGTGTCAATCTCTCTAAAATACTATAACAAATATAGCCCCTTTATTCGGTCAATCAGGTTTCTCCATGGGCCGTTTAACGCGATGGTGCTGTCACAGTTAAATCGTTGAGCGCCACAGTTAAAATATATCAGAGCCATAGTTTAAATCTTAGCGCCACAGTAAGTTCATCGTCGGCAGTAAGATAAATTTGCAAATTTGCAAATTTATAGACTCATTGAACATCACTAATACGTTCCGTTTTTCATTTTCTAATGCATTGCCGTTTGTAATTCATTATATGTAGGACCCTTTGTTTGACTTGTACAAGCAATTATCTTTTAGAACTCGCTGGACACTCGAATGAAAAGGGACAAACCTTTTTTTTTCCATAGGACAAGATAATTGCAAACGATTTTTTTGTATTAATTGATTCACGCAGTTCTGCAGAGAACAACGTCTCTAAAATTGGCTTCGAAGGGCGGGTCAAACATCGCACGTGTATTGTACGTTATGGTAATATTTTTGCAATGTTGAAAAATTAACGTTTTAAAGGTACTTGGACACAGATTTGAAGTTAATTTTTTCTCTATAATATAACGAATAATATATTTTAATAGCATTTCAAACAAAAATTAATTAAAAATCTTATTTCGTTTAAAAGTTATTAAAATTTCAATTGTTTTGGCGGGTTTGATTGACACATCCTTGCACTTTTACAAATTTTAATTTTACTCTTAATACTTAGGAAAAGTGGCAATCTTGTTGTGTATGAATGAAAAGTATTAATACTATAATCCAGAAAATTCAGAGTAGACATGTTCGAAAGCAAAACAAACACACAATATATTCTTAGTCCGTGCAGTTGTGGTGAGCAGACTTTGACTATTGAACGCACCCGCTAAAATCAAAACATCAACAAAAACAGAGCTCCTGCCTTGTTTACAAAAACTGTGTACATAACACGTGTGATCGATTTGCACACACGACTTAGCTCGGAATGACGATACTTGTGAAGGCGTTTTGCTTTCTAACATTTCTACTCCGAATAAAATTATTTTTCTGGATTAAAGTTTTAATATGTCTAATTAAAACACAACAAGATTGCCATTTTTCTGAAGGATTAAGAATAAAATTAAAATATGTGAAAGTGCAAGGATGTGTCAATCAAACCCGCCAAAAAATTTGAAGTTTTAATAACTTTTAAATGAAATAAGGTTTTTAGTTAATTTTTGTGTGAAATGCTAATAAAATATATAATTCGTCATATTACTGTGTAGTATGTAGAAAATATTAACTTAAAATCTGTGCCCAAGTACCTTTAATATGGCCCTATAACTCTTCAGACAACTGACTGCAGATATTTAGCGTAATTGTGTAACTTTCCAGATTTTTCTGTGTCCATTATGACCTTTATTATCTTTTGTAAACATTTTTTTTTTCAAATAGAGTTTAATGGTTAAACCTTATTGTTACTGGTACTTTTATTTCAGATTCGATGAACCAATTTTTGTTTAGCTTAGTAGTACGTTTGTGTGATTTTTATTTGTTTATTCTATTTTGCTTTACTTCATTTTTTTTTACAGTATTCATATATTTCGGAAAAATTCTTATTTTTTATTTACACCATGCTTGTTCAAGATCGATAAATTGCTTTTATTACTAGTAATGAATTTGTTATTCAATTTGGCAAATAATAAGTGCCATTTGTGCAATAACTAACAATTGTTTCATTAGGGTTGAGTGTTTTTGAAATTTATTTTGCGGTTCCTTCCCGATTTTTTTCGCAAAATAATCGAATGATAATAACACTTCGCGTTAATATTGCGCCACAGTTCAGTTTGAAATAATCGAGAACGCTGGGTCAATCTATAATATATCGACAAAACAGAAAAGCACATCGATATACATTTCTGTCAAGTCGATATGGATTGACGAAGTAAAAGGGCTATATTTGTATAATAATTTCAGATTTGTTTAAAATATTGTTTTAACATAATTCACCCATTCTCAATATAAGGGCACAAATGCCTCTCTGATTTTTTAAAAAATGAAGTTCAAGATAACAATTTTTCTATCAATTACCTTTGAAAGAAAGTATGTGAAGATTTTGTTTCCAGATTTTTTTTCATCAAATATTAAAACATGGGTTAATGACAAGACGGTAAAGTAGAGGGTGATTTTATTCAAAAATATAGCTTGAAATGTACGTTACTCTTTCTTCAATGTCCAAAAAGATATGTAAAAAAAATGTAGTCATTAAAATCACAATTGGAATATCTCATCTTAACACCAGAACATCCTACCAAGTCTGTCAGCAACATTCGGCATACGAACGTGCGTTTGATTTTTCCTTTCAAAAAACAAAGGTTACTTTTTGATCCAGATGTATAAAAACATTTTTTAAACATATGCTTTAAATTCTTCTCTCTGTTTTGTTATGAGCAATCAGTTTGGAATCTTGTCATTTTCTATAGATACTGGAACTTAACATGTACATGTAGTAAAATTCTATTTTGTAGTTACTGTCTTTTTTAACATATATCCATGCCGATTTAGAAAACTACGTAAATGTAACGTACATTTCAAGATATATTTCTGTTTAATAAAAAGCTTAAAATTCATCTAAAAATTCATCGTTTTGTTTCAGTTTATTCCAAAAAAGATTCTCTGTGTAATCACATTGTGTTATATGTCACAATCACCACTATAAAGACACGATTGCCTCAGAATATGAGTAGGTAACGTACATTTCAAGCTTGTAATGATATGTAAATTAGTAATAAGAAAATATTGAAAAAAAAAGCCATTATTGACATGAAAATCATTTCAATGAAGAGTTTTAACGCAGTAATATAAGAAATCATAATGTAACAAACGAGGCTATTGTCATCAACTACACGAAGGTCACGTCACTTCGGTAACGCTCATTTCACATATTATTGGGGAGTCCCCTCCACCTCAGTTCATTACCATTCTTTTGTGCTGTTTCGCTGAAATTGACACCGGTCGTAGCCTAGTTACTTCTACCTGTGTGCAAAGGTACAGACAAAAAAAAAATAAGAGTCAGACGTATTTTGCTATGATCTAACAAATGCTCGTGTTTGGCCATTGAAACTTAACATAAATCTATTCCGAATATATCCATCGACAGTCTTGTTAACAATTTTATTTAGTATGTTGCAACATCGTTTGTCAAAACACAAACATACGTGCTTTTCAGCAGATCTGGAAAAATATAACCCAAAATGCAATGATTCAAACAAAACTGAGTATTGTGTGCCTTTCAGTATTTAAAATGTACGTGACCGTCTTGTGTTCTGGGTTTATTTGTTTTGTTTCTTTTTTTTTTCTTTTTTTTTTCTTTTTTTTTTTTACCAATTATATAAGCCTATGCATACCTTGTTTTAAATTATCAACAACAATTCAATTAATATTGACGAAAAGTCGCATATTAAAAGTAAACAAAATGCAAAAAGGTTGCCAAAGATGAATTAAAGACACTTAAAAATAAATTTTCTACCACATTTACGAGGATTGGGGGTGCATTTAGATGGATTTATGTGGTCAGTTGGCAAATGGATTGTAACGATAATTTTGTTTCGCTCCTGTAAACGCAATTCATTGACTGAATAAAAAAATATGTCAGTTAGAAATACGCAAAATGTACGTTACCATACGTAACGTACATTTCAAACTAAAAATCAATTCTCTTCCACAAGCGTACGTTAGACACGCAATATATTGATACTATCTGAACTTGCATATCATATTCATATTCATATCGTATTCAGAAATATATTCCAGGTATCAAAATTATATTACATATAATTGACCTTAATATATTTTTTTCCTCAACAGAAACGTTTCTTTTCATTAATTTTGGGATTTAGCCGACCTCCAACCTTTGAAACTTTCCTTTGTGTACACATTCGAGTGTGTGAAAGTATGAGAATACATGAAAATTCGTGCGAGATTCACTTAATTCTAATTTCATGGTAACGTACATTTCAGTAACGTACATTTCAAATGATCACTTTTCATGTAAAAAATAATTTTTAATTGTGTTGAGCAAAACGTCTTTGCCAGTTTACAGGATACAAGGGTTTGCTTATTCAGAGTCGTCTCATATTTTCTACTTAATATATATTCTTAATGGAAAAATATAGGTAACGTACATTTCTTTCTTATCTCTACGATTGAAAATGTCTTTCATTCCGTAAACATATTGATAAAAGTTGCTCAAATTGTTCAATTTCATGTTACATTATCTAAGTAGGAGTAATTAATCCTTTGAAATTTCAAATTTAGCCCATCAATAAATAAAGGAGAACAAAACTATCAGGTGTATAATCTTTGTGTTTGTTTGTAATGTGGTTGAAATAGAATTAAGCGACAGGGACATTGCACAATAAAAATTATTTATTATCACTAAGAAAATGTATTTATTGTTATGAAAAGAAATATATATGATACAAGGTTTAACTTATCCGAAAATTTTTACTTGAGAATCAAAACTATATATTACACAGAGGGGATTCAGCATAATATTTGCCTCGGCGACAGTAACGTACATTTCAAATAGGCTACTATATTTGAATTTGGAACTCCTTAAATACCCTTTCAGATCGATAATTATATGAATTCTTATTCATTGTTAAATGACTATTTATAATGTTGATTTAAAAATTACATCAGTGGTATTTCTTCTAAATGAAAATGAGGCGACATTATTTGAGCCCTTATATTGAGAATGGGTGAATTAAGTAAGTTCTGCATTTTTTTCAAAACTTTCTTTAAACTCAATCTTTTCCCTATAATCTTTGCACTTAAAGTGTTTCAAAGTTTAGATTCATCCGATCAGAAAAAGGTGTGGGGGCAATTTGATGAGGTTGTAAATAGTCACTGGTTAATTCTTGTTCATATTCATAGATATAGATACACCAGAATCAACAAATTTGACATCAACTGAATTTAATAGAAAATCAGCCTGTCTTGCTATCAACTGTGGTACTGTCGAAACGTTTTCCATATCTTCTGGTTGTTCTGAGTCATATTCCGGAGTCTGTGAAGATAAAGGTATCCTTTGTTCACATAAAGAAATTTTATGCACCCCTTTCTTACCGATTTTTGAAAATCTATGAATAACCAATAAACACATAATAGTGTAAAGTTTCGGTTGTGTTTTTATTATCTTGTCATGTCTGTAAACCAAATCTTTTCGTATTTATTTTCAGAGAAATATAATGGTTGCATTAAACGTTGAAAATTAATTATATGCATTAATTTTATATTTATTCTTCTATATAAAACTAAGAAACAAAAATATATGATTTACTTCACAATTCATGAATAATACTGTAGACTAGGATTATTAAGCTGTATATGTTTCGTTTGTTTTATGTTTAACGTCCCTCTCAAAATTTTTAAATTAAACTGGAGACACAACCACTTGCAAGTAGAGAGCTGCAAATTTTGAACTATACTCAGCACTCATGGACATTGAGGAGTGAGCGATATTTTTCGTGTCAGCATCTGTTGCTACACAGGACTTCGGTTTATACGGTCTCATCCAAAGAACTCGTCGCTACGTCCCACAGTGGGATTTGAAACGGCGACGTTAGGATAAATTCATTACTCCGCGATTCTAGAACAAACACCTTTACACTGAGACTTAGCTGCTGCTTAGCAGAAGCTGTTTCGTGGAAGCCCTCATTCATTAACTTATTTCAGTCGTGATATCTTTTAATTATTTTTAAATCTTAAACAGTCTTATTATATCAAGTCCAATATTTTGTTTCTGTCTATTTTAAAGGATATCTAGGTTGTTTTGAAGATCAGTGGTCGAGAATCTTGAAAGATGGGCCTATAACATCGGATAAGACGACTGTAACAGAGTGTAAAAACATTTGCTCAGAAAAGAAAACAAAATATTATGGTGTTGAGGTGACTTAGTCTAATACCTGTACATACATAATCTAATACATTCAAATTCACGGTAGCCAAAGGACATTAAAAGAAATACAATGCATTTTTATTTAATTTTATAGAATTCAAACGAATGTTTTTGTGGAAACACAATTACATCAAGAGTAGAAAAGCCTGAAGGCGAATGCAACATGCAATGTCGTGGAGATGTTCGTCAAACTTGTGGTGGATCATGGGGAATCAATATCTACAGAAATCCGTACTACATAATAGGTTCCTGTACAAGTATTTTTATAAAGTATAGGCCAATAGACCGCAAAGAGTTTTTTTTATTAGGCGGTGTGTGCCCCCACTTTTTGGACAGTTTAAGACTTTGGGGTAGGGTAGGGCTTTCAGATTTCTTTTAGATAAAACCGTTGAAACAGGCCTGTCAAAGGCATACGGAAACTTTATATATTTCACGTATATTCTCATATACTTTCACTTTGCTCATGATAACATTTTTTCAAGGTTCAGTTGAATTTTTTTATGGATGAATTCATAAGAGGCCAAATGTTTCATTCCCATTTTTTTTCATTTATTCCGATTTTTTGATTGAAAATTCATATTGATGTATTTTTTTTTATTTTCAATGATTTTTTTCCCTCCATTTTTTAATTAAACTCGTGTCAACATTGTATTTTGAAATCTAAATTTATTTTCCCTTTGAATTATATGACCTGGTGAATTCTTACTTCCGTTTTACACCGTCCCAGGTGAAGATGTCTACATGTATTGCAATCGGTGAATCGACCCCTCTCTGTATGAAAATTTTGAAAATACATATTTTAATTAAAATTATGAAATTTTTAAAAATAACTGATCATTGCCAAATAAATGAGAGAGTCTTGAATACCATTCTAATAAATGCAAATAAACAGAGTGAAACCAGCTTAATTCAAGTTTTGAATCCCCACATCTTTTCCTCTCCTTAACATAGTAAAATAGTATCGTAATTCTGTATTTATAACTGTATAAGACTACACACTAGTATCTGCATTACGGAATATGACGTCATCTTTATAACGTATTATTTCTTTAAATACTAATTACGGTTTTTGTACTACTGGTAAACTCTTTTAAACAAATAGTAATGCAGATTTTAAACTAGATGCTGTCATGAGACAGTAATACCCGCACTAAGGTGTTTGCCTCTAAATGCAGACTTCTTCATATTGGGCTTTTCCAAGGAAAAAGTCAATATAATTCAATAATTTACATAATACATGTTTTATCAAATTGAGCATAATATGCTGAGGTGACCATGTGACCCATGGGCCTCCATCTAATAGGTATTTCATATTCTTAATTCATTACCAGTCTGAAATTAAACAACAGAATTAAATTAATGATGTAAATTAGGTTTGATAAGGAGGGGGGGGGGTATAAATTTTTGGCACATAATTAAAACTTTTAAATCTATTTTCTCATATCTATAGATCAATAACAAATAATATTATTCAAATTAGTGTAAAGCGTTTTTGATGAATTTTTCAAAATGTGCAAAGTTTATTTATATTTGATTAGGCAGTTCTAAACTTCTTGAAAGCTGCCATATACACAATCAATGTAGTCAACCCCCACCCCTCTCCCATCAACACACACACACAGACACACCTTATTTGTCTGTTTTTGGAAATATGCCTAGATGGCAATGTTAAGATAAAACATCTTTCGTAAATGATAATTTTCAATTTGTTCTTCCGCTATACATGTATTTGAACACCTGAATCACAATGGGCTTGCGTCACGTACCCAACTTAAGTACTAGTTTTACCATTGGCATTATCATTTTTAGATTTCACTGCACGTGCAGTAGGCTACTAGTGTTGTATACACATCATTGCATATATGTCAGTAGGAATTATTTCATTTTGTGTTTTAATTGGATTATATTTCATGAAGATTACAGGACATAAATAATGACAATCGGTAAGTACAAAGTTTCGTATAGATTTGGGTAAAATAGTCTGAAATGCAAACGGTTACGTTCAAGTTTAAAGAATCAAAGATCATCCGATGCTGCATCTAGAGACAAATTTGACATTCTGAAGAGTTATCCCCCGTTATCAACGTTACATTCAGTTAGGCCTACAAGATCCAGATTTTTTTTTCTGGGACTGGGAGGGAGGGGGGTTTCCAGACCAGAATTTCCTGAGAATCAAAAAAAAAAAAAAAAGAAGTTACGTTTGGGTCTGTTTTCTAAGGTGGAGGGACACTTAAGGTACTTGTTTACTCACCATATTTTGACAACAACGGGTCGCCGTACTTATAAATGTCGTAAATTTGACAAGTTGTGTAAATGAATAGTTTTGTATTTAAAACTATATATAAGAGTAAAACATTACACATAAAACTAATATTTATGGGTTTTTATGTTCTAATATTTATAATTTATCGAAAATATACGGTTTACGACATATTCCGCATCAGCGCGGTAAATGTAAACAACATGAACAATGGCGTCTGACAAGTGACATCGTCAATGTAGCATGGCAAACTAGAAAAAAACAAGGTTTTTCAAAGAAAACATCGCAATACAGAAAAAATTCTAACTTGTCAAGAATCGTTGGGTAGAAATTTGGGTTAATTTAAACCATAACTATGACGTGAATCGATCTACCGGGGGTGAGACTGGACATGATCATGATGACAACGTACCAGAACCTACATGTCGAGATGTTCCCGTCTCCTTCAACATTGTCATTGAACTACAGAAAATTCGAGGTAATGCATTAGACTAGAATCTTTGTGTTCTCTATGTTTTAAATATACATAAATCTTTCGGCACAAATATCATTGCACACAGCAGTACATCTGTATATTTATAAACCGATAAACACTGATCAAGATATCGAGGGATAGACCCTAGGTATAGAATCAAACCAAATCCATCAGCTGCTAATCTGATGTACAGTGTCAGTGACATCAACTGGCAACTGCTGAATCACTTTTAATGCCTAAATAAAAATGATATGTAAACTAGTAATGATTACATTGACTGCCATTTTTTTTAAAAATTCTTCTAGGAATTATGAAAAAGGATTTTAAGATTGGTTCAATTTTATTGCGTGATCAATGCATAAATTTGACAATGTAACTTAAGTTAAAATAACAACACATTTTTCTTTCTTAAGATATGACACTGCATTGAGTAAAGGGAGAAGCTGGTAGAACTAGGGGTCTTAGCAGATGGCTACTCAGGTTGTGGAGTTTGTGGCATTCCTCTCCATCTTTCTTATACCATGGGGATATAAACTTCTGGTTTAAATTGGTATTTAATTATTCCTGAAAGTTCAGTGTCAGAATATAACATGTCAACACATAAATAAAATAGCTACCGGAAAGCACCATGGAAAGATATGGAATGCAAATACCAAGCTTACCTGACACAGGACAGGTACATACTTTATTTTGCATTTATTTTTTAATTACGTACTGTACAGTACATATATTATGAAAGCACCAGGTTAATTTCCTGTTATAAAAAATCATTTGTTCTATATTTCATAAATGCATCCGAATTATATATTTTTAGGAATGGTGCATACAGGCATGGGGCCTTCTCAGGTGAATACACTTTTAACATCATTAAATATCCCCCCAATCAGTTCTTGGACTCTGCAAAACAGACAACATGAAACAGGACCAGTTCTGGGGAAAACTGCAGTAGAAAGTACCAGAAGCAGCCTTCATGATGAAATTCAGGCAACTGTAAGTATGTAAATAGAGAAAACAAATGTCCATTGTAATAGGATTTTTTTTTTTTTTGAATATTTAGGACACTAAAATATATTTGATTTAAATGAAGTTATAATGTTTCTATCAGAATTAAAATTAATAGATGACGTCATTAAAAATTTTAGTACAGTAAAATTCATTCAGTAGGAATATGTATATAGTGAATTCACAGATATTGTGAAGTTTTCGGGGTCCCCAGCAAAAATTCTGAACATTTTTTTGTAAAATTACATGGTTATAACGAATTCTGATGTAACAAATTCATTAATATAGTCAACTGATTTGATTCCTGTAGAGGTTTTTAAAAAAATGAAATTTACATCTTTTTTAATGAATTTTGAAAAATTGATATATATTGAACTGACTATTTTTGGCAAGTATTTGTGTATAAAATTCAATTCATAATGAAACCATAGTTATCCAAGGAATGTTTTGTAACAACAGCTCTTCGTACATATTCTATAAAAATACTTGATGGAAAACGTGTAAATTGCAATTGCTTTATACAGTTATACAAATTCGTTATACTGATATAACCAATAATGGATATAGTAAATTTTAAAATTCACAGGTCCCCAGGACTTCGCTTACTGTATTTGTATTCTCCAATATATGCATCTTTAGCATACATGTAAGAAGTAAATCCTATACATGTAATTTTCAGATTTAAAAAGTGTACATTTTAAGAGAACAACCACAATCAAGGTAAGAAAAACCAATTAGCTTCATGTTTCTGACAGTCTCCTTATGATTTTAAAGGATTAAAGGTACAGTCGAGCTAACAGTCAGTGTTGATGCAGGTTGGCAGAAACCAGGCAGTGGGCCATCCTTTGACAGCCTCTCTGGTATGTTGAGCATTTTATGCGCCCAGATCGATAAATCAGGGTGTATATTGTTTTTTGTCTCGTCTGTCTGTTTGTTTGTCTGTCTGTTGTCAACCTTTACCTCACCATAACTTTTGAACACTCCACTAATTAAGCTGTAGCTTTCAAATGACACCAAGGTCAATTACCTTGTGACCTTGACTGTGACTTATAAGCTTTTTCAAACTTTTGCTGTAGGAGATAGAGACTTCATATTTGGTATACATACCTCACTAATTATGCTCTTTCAAACGACACCAAGGTCAATGACCTTGTGACCTGGACTGTGACCTTTATGCCAATAATAACTTTTATTGGAACTTAGTTGCCACCGTGTTGTGTTTCACAAGCACGTCTTGTTTCTTTTAAAAGGAATTTAATGTTTAACAAAGTAAAATTCCAATTCTTTATAAAATATTTATATATTTTATAATAAATATATTTCATAACAAATGTTCATAAATGTATATGAAATTGAATATAACAAATTCATTCCTTTAATAACTCAAACTGCATAAATGTTAATTTGAAACATATTTTTAGGTCATTGCTCCATGATTGAATCTCAGACAGGCAAAGTCAAGAAATCAGAACGAAATGTTGCACAATTTTTGAAAATGCTACTACAAATGGAAAAGACCTCAAAGATCATGACTGCAGAAAAAACTCTAATCACCATGACAGGAAAGTCAACCTGTTTCAATTTCAAGTGCACTTGGTTCTTTTTTTAAGCTTTATGGAGAAGCAAGGAATCTATTTTTAGTTGGCCACAATACCAAAGGTTTTGATTTTCATGTTCTTTTTCATACTCTAGATTCTTGTTCACTGTTTTATCAAGTGTCAAATGTGTACAAGGTTTTTTTTTTTTGAGATATTATCAGATTTCTATTCAAACTTGTCCATCCCAGTTTGTGTTCATCGAACCGGTAATATTTATCAGAAGTGTTACTAAAATGTACTTACAATGCACATGATACTGTAGAAGATGTTTCAGCTTTGAAAAGTTTAT